GCTTACATATTTGAAAATTGACTGTAAATCTAAACTTGTCAGAACTAAGGAACTATAGCGCTTGTTTACAATACTTCTAGATAATTTAAAATTTATCTTATTGTAGCAATCAACCTGTATGTTGGTGTTAACACTCATTTATAGCTATTCTCCTCTAATTGCTTTCTCATGTACTGCATCTTCTTTATGTACAAAGCTAATGAACGTGCATTTATTAATTTTCTGCCTGGAACTATTGTGCTCTCTTCAAGTATGCATTTTGCCTTTAAAAGGAAAAAACAAAAGCTCGGAGTTATGAGTTTGACATTTATTATTTCTTGCCGTAGAAACAGTCCTTATATGTGAATCTATACAGCTTATATAATGTGGGAAGAACATACAGCTTAGACTTGAAATCTGATTTGACAGCACCAATGAGAAAAATGTAGTGTGTTTTAATGTCAAAAATGTAATTCAAATGGAAAAAACATATCAGGAACTGAATAAACAAAATCAACATGACTTTTCGAATCGAACTTCATTGCTTTCAAGGACTGAAAAAATGAGGCCTACAGGGTTTAACATCCCTTTAACCCTCCAATATGTCAAGTCTCATTAGAGTTACTCAGCTCTATCTCTGCATGCGATCTTAAAGGGTTGTTTATTCGTCTCTTGTCCTTACTCTAAAGTTATCCCCAACTTTCCTGTCTTATTTCAACAGGTCACTGGACAGCCTGAGATTTTGAAATGAATGTTTTCCTTTTTCAGTTTATTTAGGATGTTTTCTAAAACTGTAGTGGCTTGGAAAGCATAGTTTTCCCTTGTATTTTAAAAACTACATATGTTATCTTCCAGGATGTCGTGACTCATCCTTTTTATTTTCTTTTGAACATTGTGGCACCTGAGAAAATCAGGTGTCTCTGCACAGTGAGAAAATAAATACACATTTGCAGGAAATAAATCAGTGATCTTAGAATACTTTTGTGAGGTGTTTGCCTAATGAACCCTTCTTTCTGTAACTGAAAGCAAAGTAATTGAACTGAAAAACCTTCTTGTGAGTGATTAAAACTGGAGCTGCTGGAGTTATCTGTTTCTCTGTGCAGCGTATTTACTGCCATCACAATAATCTCTGAGTGTATCCCAAACATATAGCAATAATTTTCTCTCTCCCTACTCGCTTTTTAAAAGCCAGATTGACCACGTTCTTTTGTGTCTGTGAGTTGTAGTGTTTTATGCCGAAAGTAGTCCCAGGAATGGTAAATTGGCTCTTGGAGTGAGCTATTTGTTCACATAAGAAGGAACAGCGCCTCGATGTTGGTAGATACCTTCTGGGTATTGTATCATTTTCATACATAGCCTACGGATGTGATTTCCTAAGGCTGAGAATACAGTGTGCCTATGTAAATGAGATACCATGAGAAAGCCAGTATGTACATTTGCAGTAGGCCAGCTGCTAAGCAGGGACTCTTCCAAGCCCTTTCCTTTTCCTTTCCTGATACCTGTGAAATAAATTTCACTCGTAGGTGAAAAGAAATAAACTATCTTGTATACTGTGCCGTAAAATAAGAATATACGAATGGCCAGCTTCTATGAAGTAGCTGATTTGTTAAATTCACACCTTGGCTTACTCAGTAGTAACTTGATTGTGTACCCATACCTTAAGTTTAGGTCCAGCTGCTGTCAAAAACTTATATCACACTGATTAATTGTTCTGCTGTCTTCTAACTGTTTGGAGGTTCAAAAAGGATATTGCTATAGAGTGGGTTGCAGGATCCTGCCATGGAAATACTTCCCATAGGGAACTGGAATACCAGGAGAGAGGCCTCTCCATGTGGACTATTACAAGGAATGGAAGATCAAATTATGTTTACATGACAGCATCCAGAAACATTTTTCTGTTTTTTGGACAGGTGAACATAACTTGCTCTTTTGCTGCTCCCAAATGTAGAAGCTGTGAACGTAATTTCAAAAGTATGGACATAAAGATAACCTTGGAAAATGTTCCTTTAGCAATAATAGGGTTTATTGCAGAATGGGTAATGCTATTTGATTTTTTTGCCTCAGTTCGACTTCATCACATATCTTCTTTTCTCCCTGTTCCTTTGCTGGGCAGACAAGATAATAAGAGGTAAAAGTTTGAAGAGAAGACTTAAAGCTGTGTAATCATAGTGCTTAAGACTGCACTGCCTTATTGGCTTTCCTGCTCATTCATGATCTCACATAGGAAAAGACAAACGAGCATTTTTAAGTGAGGTCTTCAGTTGCTGAATCCTGGTATCTGAAGAACAGAAATGGGCACTTTAAGACCAAAACATAGAGAGTAGAAGTTGTTCCAGGGTGTTCTCCTTCTCAAAACCAACTCGAAGTTAGGATGGGAACACTTGCTAATTGAGCGATAACACTGTTGGTTCCAGAAGAGCTCAACAGGATGAGATTGGGTGTTGCTTTTTCCTCAGCACACTGGAGGAGATAATTCACCAGAGGGACAAATGTCTGTTTCCTGTGCTGTGACCTCAAGTCAGACAAAGATTATATGCATTGACCTATGTAGGTGGTGCTAATGGTAATTTATTGATAGAAAAATAATGCCCTTTGTGTTGAGTGTGTTGGTTTTTTTTAATATCTTTTAAAATTATTTTTATTTTTTTTTCCTTCAGCACTGAACACGATGTTGGCTGTTCCTAGATGAGCAGTAGATTTCCTGTTGGTGATGGCAGCTTTGTTAGTCACTTTATTTATGGATTTCTTCCTTTGCCTAGTCAAGCAAGCTAGGATATCTCTGACTGCTTTTCTGGCTCTTAATTATTCTATTCATTTATGCAACTACAATTTTGTGTTTCTGCTTTTGTATTTGGATTTATTACTTGTAACCCATGGTGCTAGTCTGGCTGCAGGGATCCTCTCTGAGAAATGGGGTAAGGTTGCAGGGAGAGTGGGAGAAGTCATAGTGATTCTCCCCTCTAATCTCCTGATTAAGACAAGCCAGAGAACATAATGTCCAGTCCAAAATTTCCTCTGAAACTTTTACACATCTCAGAAGGGCATTTTGGGTTGACTGTAAGTGTGGTGGCTTCATCACAACCCTAGATGAGATGTTCTGTACTTAATTATCCTTTGGACTTAATAATAGTTTTAAAGCTTTATTTCTGGTTTGAACTTGTCAAACTTCAGTGGTCAGCTGTGGGGATCTCATCATGTTGGTTTTTATCTGATTAAAGAGCCATCAGTTATCAAAAAATCTTTCATATATGCGTAAGTATATGTAGTATTACCATCTAGGTTCTTAAATTCTTGATTAAATTAAGCAGGATGAGCTTTCTTGGGATTTGAGACGTTAATTTTAGACCTTGGATACTTCTGTAATTATTTCTTGCATTCATCACAAGTTTTCATCTAGGAATGCCAGAAGGTGACATAGCATGTCACTAACAGTCTGGCAGGTGCTGTGTACAGAAATATTTTCAGCTCCCTTCATTTTTTTTATATTTATCTCCTTGCAATTTGGAGGATGATTATCCTGCAGACCTGCACGGTGATGGAGCTCTCATAAAACAACCGTCTACAATAATTTGCAAATTCTCTTCAGTTTTTACTCTCCTGAGCATAACCATTCATCTCTGTTCTAGGTGGACAGTTCCACAGGACACCACCAAAAGCCCATTGTCCAACCAACTCACGATCCCATGCATTTGTTGTATAAGGTTTCCTTGATTATATTTATTGTTTTTTACCATAGAGGCTTGATTATGCGTGTCATTTAACAAAAAGTCATTCTCATATGACTTCCAGTCATTCCTTACACCTTTATATATAACAGTTGCCTCCTACTTAGTTTCCTTTCTATTCAGGATGGGAAATTGTCCCTTTTAAAGCACTATGTTATGTAGAACCACTGTTTTTATCCATACATGGTGAATTGGTTTATAATAAACTCAACTGTAATCCCTGATTTCTGATTAAAATCTAATATACTTTTACCCTTGCCTAAGGGGTACCCTTTTTCTAAGAAGTTCATCGCTTGCATTCTTCAGAAACTTAAAGATATTTTGTTGAGGAAAATTACTGGTATGCATTCCCTTCCTGGAGTCTTTCCTCTCACGTCATATTTATGTTTGAAAGGGCTCTTCATCACATTCCTTTCTGATTGAGTGGTTGACTGTAGATCTTTATTGATACCGAGACTGTAATGTGCCTGTTAATACATTGACCCATATCTACTCTAGATGAAATGAGCAATCACTTTAGAGCAGATAGTGGTGTCTTTATTAGACCACACAACTTCCTGGTCTTTTCTGTATGTCCTAATGCTTTTTAACATTGAAGTAGTTTGGAAAATTCTAGTAGACTTCAGAAATTAAATTCCATAGTAAGTGCTACACAATATATTTTTTCTTGCTCTGTTCATTATCCAGCTTTCCACTACTGGCATATAAACAGCTGGTTTATTTTCTTTGCACTCCTTTACATTTTCATGTTTTAGTTTTGAATCATCTAATCAGGCAATGGTATCGTATGATAACTTCTGATTGTCCTCCCTAATAAATACTAGTTGAAAGCCCCTGCAGAGTAATCTAGTTTGATTGCTATCCAAAATGTTAGTCAGTCTCACTCTAGAGAGAGAAACTTCCCAGGTTTATGAACTTCAGTTTGCTGACTGAGGCGAATAATTCACAGGGTATCACTTACCTAGCCAGTGTTTAATCTCCTGTATCTTCTGCAATCTGTTTCTCCCATTTGGAAGGATTCCCAAGCAGACTGTCTCTCTCCTTTTTTCAGTGAGCTTTAATAACTTAATAAATATTACTGAACATGGCCCAGGTCTACTACTGTGTCATGTTCTGTGGCAAACTGGGCATTCCTTTCTCAGTTTTTACTGTAGAAAATAGACTCCTTTGTTGCTGTCACTTCATTCTTCAACTGAACGGGCAGTTGCCTTGTCTGAACGTGACTGTACAACTCTATTCTGCTCTTCAGGATCCACTAATTGCCCATTCAAAGAGTTATTAGTTTTTTTTTCCTAGGAACCTATTGACTCTTCACTCTGTGGGAAACCTGTCTTTGGACAGGAAGCAGAAGGTGGTAGTTGGGTCGCTGCTGGCTGTTGTCGGTGGCTATCGGGAGCTGTGCTTTGGAAAGAAATTCTGCATTCCTTCTCGCAAAATGTCTCAAAAATTCTCTACTATCGGGTTTACCTCTTGACTAATATGATTGCAGCAAGGACAGCTCTTCTAAGCGTAAGTGGAGTCAGTCTGGATACCATTTAATGATTCATGTCCTAGAAAAACATGGTTTTCCTGTTTCTATAGTAGAGACATTGTTTCTGGCAGCCTGCTTAGAGCAGTGGCTTAGTGTTTGGGAAATGCTTGCAACTGAGGGCATCTGCCTTTTTTTTTTTTTTTAACCATCTAGATTTCTTTGAAACAAAAATCTGAAACTTTATTCTCATATTTCTAGGCTAGAGATTAAGCTATCGTTGCACATCTGTAATAATAATAGTAATAAAAAATGACCAAATGCTAACCCCGCAATTCAAAGGGAATAATAAATTTATGGCTTACCCAATCTCTTTGCATTTGAAACATTAATTAACATGTTTACTTGAGAGTTTTATTTCACATGTGTATGACTTCCTGAAAGTATACCAAAATAGTATTCAAAGCAAAACTAATAAATATGAGGTAGTACATAAAAAACCCCAAAAAACACAAACCAAAACAGAATGAGAAACTTCTTTACTTCACAACTCAGTTTTCATATTTCAAAAATCACTCAGGGCAGAAAATCTGAATATTTTCACATTTTCTGAAAGTTCAGAATTCTGAAATTATTCCAGTGTAGGTAAACAAACTGGTCATTAATCATCTCGTGCAATATTAAAATGTTTCAGGCATACCTTAAAAAAAGACACCACAAAACAAACAAACAAAGAAGAAAACCCCAAGCCACAATATGATCCCAACTCCTTAATCTCCAGGCTCCTCATGTGCTCCTTTTCCTGCTGTCCACTCTCCCCATGGTTTGTCATCCTGTGCTGTCAAGTGGGTCATAAGTCATAGCAGTGGGGACTGTTTCTAGGTCACACAGTAACATATTGGGCAAAGTACTGTTGTAAATCGCACAGAAATAGTATTTTACAGTAGGAGAGGGCTGACTTGCTACAAACTACTCCATTAACTTCGCATTGCACCCGCTTTTCACTGAACTGATAGTAGCAACATGCCAGTTTTACAGCTGGTGCAGTAATTCATCTCAATATCGTTTGAAAAGAAGAGGAAAGGAAAGAGGAAATTGAGGTTACACATTTCCAAAGGTGATAGGGGAAGGGACTGAACTGTCCTATTACTTACCCTAGTTGTTCTGTTACCTTCATAGCTTATTATACACAAGGCACTTAACATATTTGCACCATTTTTAAATGGCATTATAATAGTTCAAACTGCAAAACTAGACTAATCTGCTCCGGTTTTATTAGCATCATACTTTAGCATCTGAGCAAGAACATACACTTTCATAAAGTTAAACTCTTTTTAACAAACGAGTTACCCTTGAAGACTTTTCCTGCCACTCCTTGATTGTGCTCGTTACAAGGAGAAAAGGCAACTAGCAAAAAAGCAACGTCTTTTAAGAGGAAAATGTATGCATACGTATACTGAGATCTCATGGATCTCATTATTTAAGTGTTACAAAACTTCTAGTAATATTGTAGTGCAGGTGAAATTGTTCTGTGGGCTGATGGTGGTGACTAAAGTCTCTGTTTTCCATCCCTCCTAGAAATTAAGAAGCCGCCAGTGGCCCCCAAACCAAAATTTGTGGTAGGACACAAGGCAACACCTCCACCTGTTGCACCGAAGCCTGATGTTCTTCCTGGTGTTATACAAGCAGCAAGGAAAACCAAGCCAGCAATTGCACCGAAACCAAAGGTTCTAAAGAGCTCATCTGTTCCGGAAGTTAAACCTCCATCGTCTACACGAAAAAGCACAAAAAGCTTTGAGGAGCACAGAGAAGAGTCTTCTCAAACTCTAGACCACTTGAACTATAAAAATGAAGCCTCGGAAGGGAGCACTGGTAACACAGCGTATATTCTACCAATGTCGTCTTGCAAATTTGAATGCCTTCATAAGATTGGAAATAGGGAGAACACCTGTAAAACTCAGATCATTTTTGAGCACTTTGAAAACTTGGAGAACATCAAAGTTGGTGAAAAAAATGCACTAGCTCTAGGAGATGGTCACAATGAAAAACTGGCAAATAGAAATCAGGTGGTTTTGAAAGCCAGCATTTTGGAAGAGAAACTTAAGGATGTTCTAACTCATAGTGTGTTTACCAACAGCAGTCCTGTAAGGCATAGGTATGCAGACAAGCTTGATAAAGGGGATGACAACAGTTCCAAGAATGATGTTAAAATAGAGTTTATGGAACTTGTACAGTCTTCATCGTCTTCTGAGGTAGCTAAAGGAAAGCAACAGAATACTGACAGTAAGCTCCCTGCTGGTGAGTTTCGGATGTCTGAAATTTGTTCTAGTTTGACTGTAAATAACCACAGTTGTTCTTGCCCATTGGGCCAGGAAATCCTGGAAAATGAAAGTTTAAGTAGCAATAGTACATTTTCAGGTGAAATAGGTATGAAAGCAGATGCTGATAAAGCCTCCTCTGACACATCTTCAGTCCTGAGCTTAAAGGTGCTTCCTGTCCCTAAGCCAAGAAAGCCACGTGCTGCATGTCTGGTCCGTCAGGATGGCATAGACACTACAGGAGAAGGAACAAAGGAACCATCTAATTCAGAGAAAGATTCCTCTGGGATTGTGGACCAAAGCTTTAAGAAGCCAGCAAAAATTAATATCCTTGGTCAAAGCGTTTGTTATAACAATAATACAGAAGTGCTTCATCCTGAAAAATGTGAGATAACTCAAAGCAATGCAGACAAAATTCATCAGTTGAAGGAACCTCTTGCAGAAGAGTCAACTTCACAAAATCTTTTGCCTCAGTTGTCACACAAAACTTCTGATTTGGCGGAAAGTGATGGACGTTCTTTAGATGCAGACCATAACTTGGTTAACTCCATGGAGGAGCTGACAGATGAGACCAGCGTGTTGGATGCTGTGGACAAACAGACTCACTTTGTCAGGTGTGATACTTTGTCAATGAGTTTGCCAAAGCAACTCAAATTAACCAGCAATCAGTACTCGTCTGCTTCCCATAGCCTCCATGTTTGCCCACAAGAATTGGAAGATAAAGAAGTTAAAATAAAGGATGAAATTTCTCCCAAAATCGTTCCTAAGAAACCACAGAGGCACAGCCTTCCAGCTGCTGGCCTGCTGAAAAAAGCTGCATCGGCAGAGCTTGTGGATAAAAGTTCTTACGGCTCCCATGAGGACAAATCAAACAGAGTTTTGGAAAGATCTCATTTCACGCATCCACCAGTCAAGGAGCCAGGCACACTGTCATCCTGTGACATACCCAAGCGTTCTTCTGAGAAACCTGTCTGGAAGTTACCTCATCCTATTCTTCCGTTTTCAGGAAATTCCGAATCACTAAAAACTGCTAATGTTGCTACCAACTTTAACCACTTGACTGTTGTGACAAAGCCTAGGGCCAAATCTCTCTCTTCTGTGGACATGGAAAGGACAGACAAGCCTTGCAAAGACCATCAGAAGAAAAACAGCTTGAAAAAGTTTCTCAACATGAAACTGTCGGTTTGCTTAATGAAAAGCGACTTCCAGAAATTTCTCTCTAAAGGCAGCCAGTCAATGGATAATGCTATTTCCAGCCTTTCTGCCGGGGACGGGTATGGAAGTGGTAACAACCGGAATATAGCATCTGTAGGCAATGAAAGGAAAACTAAATCTGCCAAGGCACATTCTGTAGAAATAAGTAGTCCGGCGTTACAGAAGAAGAGGCAGAGAAACAGAAGTCAACCTGAGATGCGAAATAACCAAAGGCTGGAGTCTTTAGATGGACATGTCCTTTCAGGAGAGAGTTTGTCACAAATGCATTGGAATTCTGTAACCAGCACTTGCGCTCCAGAGTACGAGAATGTGCGTCACTATGAGGAAATACCCGAGTATGAGAACTTGCCTTTTGCTATGGGTGCTAGGAGAAATCTCTGTTTTGAATGGCAGAACTCCAGCAGCAGCGTGGAAGACCAGAGCTCTGGCTTCTATGAGGTTGAAGAGCCTTGTGAAGCTACAAGCAGGCGTTTTGGACTTGGCAGGTAAAGAGAAAAGGGAAATTAAACATTTCTGTTGTAACTCTTGGTTGTAAACATGTTTAGATGATGACATGAGAGGCTGGATCCCTTTTGTTAATTGTCAGCAGCACAGTTGTTGCTGTATATCGTTCTATATGCTTTTGCTGTTTTGAAGGCTGATTGCACTTGGTAAAAAGTCAAGAGGAAAAGCTAGTTATTCCTCCTGTATGATCAAAATTTGGGAAGCTAACATATATGCTTTCCCAGATTTAATTAAAGCAAATCGGATACATTTATTTGTATCCAAGCATACTTAAATGAGGAGGAATGAACCGTACCACAGTCTAAGGATGAACTTGAATAAGTGTCCATAGAGTGCAAAGTTGTTAGGTTTATAGGGGGAAATAATATATTTTTAGATCAGCCAACAGAGCTGGGAAATGCAGACAGGCTTTTGGGTATGCAAATTCTTCATTAGATCTTGAAAGCTTTTTGGGTATAGCAAAAGATACTGCCTCTCCCGGAATATAGTGAATCTTCTGTATCTTCCTGTGCTCCCAGCAAAAGGACTACAGGTGCACGAGTTCTGCGTGACTCACGCGGAATATTACTGAAAGACGGGGTTTGGTGACTCTGCAGGTTGCTGCTGTGTTTCGTTGTCTCTGGAGCTGGTAGAGAGAGATAATATCAGGCGATTCAGAAAGGGATTGGAGCAACTCATAGATATGTCCAAACCAGATGCTAAATGGAATAGGTGGTGACAGGTATTTTAATATCTGTAATACTGTGGCTGTGGGTGCTGGGAAGAAGAAAGGGCCACAGAGAATGGCCAGGCTCCTGTGTTCTCCTTTTGGCATCGCTGACTGTGTCTGTCAGAGAGTGGAAACAAGTGAAGCATTGTTTTGACCCAATACAGCACCATTTAACTTCTTAACCTCAGCTCATCGGTTGGTCTTACAGATCCTAAAGATTCATTTTAAACCAGCAATACAGACTTGAATGAAATATGCAGCCTGTATATTTCATAGGCCCCAGCAAACTGTTGAGAGTACATGCATAATGACAAAAATAAATGAGCTAGCTTATAGATAGTCACATTTAGCTTCATTTTTCACTAAGTTTCTTTTCATTTTGGATATGGGTGTGGATATGGGAGCACAAACCTGTGCTCCAAAGAATCTGAGAGCTGACCATTCCTCTTATATAGGAGGAGACAAATATTATAGGTGGCATCCAACATTGACAAGTGTTTCTAGAGTAGATATTCTCAACATTGGACTGTTTAACGGAAAGCATGAAGCCTTATAATGGGAAGAAGAATTTCTGGTTATGGGCTTGGTATTGGCATATTTATTCATGTGGTTGTTGAGTGTTTTTCTTGGTTATAGTAATTGTTTCTTGGTTTTGTCTTTGGTATGCTCTAAGTTCCTGACTGAGTGTACGTTTTTTGTTTAAGTGTAATCTTTGCGTATCTTTCAGGGGTTTTGACTACACTCTTCTGGTATTCCCTTTTGGTTTACCTAAAAAAAGTGAGACCAAGCTTAAGTAAGGTTATGTTTTGTTTGTTTATGCCATCTGTTTTGGTTTGTATTGTGGTTCTGGATCCAGGTGAATGTTGTCCTTGCTGTAGGAAAAAAAAAAGGATAGTTTTGCTGTATGAAGCATGTATGAAGACGTGAGATTGCAATTGCTTCTTGAGGGAAATTCTATAGTTTCCTTACTTGGCTTCCCCAGTACCAATGGTTTTAAGTGTTTAGGGGTTTAAGTGATATCTTGCACTTTGGCACATCTGCACCTATAGCTGCTCCCTGAGCTAGGTGTTCTTGACACAGCTGGGTTTGCGCTGTGTTTTTCTTTAAAAGGCTCACATAGAAAACCATAACCAGAGCCCTTTACCCAAGTATTGTATTTTAACCTAAATTACATAGTCAGAAACTACATAAGGAAATTATTAACACACGCAGTTACTTCAGCAGATCTCAAGGAACAAAGAAATCCCTAGGAGAAAAAGGGGACCCAGTGGGGCTGTGGTCTTCTGACCCAACTCAGCTGCTGCTGGAAGAGCAGGTACAGGTATTCATTTTGGCTCTGGCTTGGGAGTTATAAGGGTCCTTGCCCAGACAGAACCAGGCAGGCAGCTTCTCCAGTTTTCCCATCCATTGTTATCTCAGATCCTTTGAAGCTTCTTTATCAATGTTGTCTTACCTTTTCTGCATAGTTCTTTAAGAGTCTTTTATCATTTCCCAGGCCAGGTGGTATTATAAAACCGGTTAGAGAAACAGTGCTGATGTTATTGAAATAATTACTGCTCGTGTTTTTCCCAGCCTGTCAGAACACGCACTTAGCTCTTTCTCATAGATCGTGGCACATAAAACTCCTGTAATGCACTGCCAATGGGGATCTCGGAGCAAATTGTCTTACGATTAAAGCCAACATATAAATGAGATTGTTCTTCTGAGAAATTCATAGACTGATTGCCTGCACTTCTGGTCATAATAGCACATATGCAGTATGTTAAGTTTGGATGTCAATCTTGTCATTACCGGAAGAATTCGGTGGTGTCTTTACTCGATGTTACATTTCTTTCTGGAGGAAGAAATGAAATTTTTATAATGTACTCAGTGCTTTGGTGGTTACTGGGAAATTTCCCCCTGATCCCATCTAATGTAACTAGTATGCTTTAATGGAGAATGGTAACAGCTTCTGACACCCTTATTCTAACTTAAGACATAGTCTTATTAAATCCAGATACGTTTTGTTTTCCTGAGCCTTCTCATAGAGGTTTAACTGCAAATGGCAGGCTTACGTAATTAATGGTGAGTATCAGTTGTCGTGTACCACTTGATTTTTGAGTTATTTGATGTCAGCCTCCCTTCTACTGAATGTAGGCTTGGCTTTTAAAAGAAGAGAACCAGGATCCTGATGTTGTGTGTGAACCATTGAGGTGGGACAGGCATTGCTGGTGAGCAACCAGTGGGTTTTGTCTTAAGTAGGTCAGGGGAATATTCTCAATAAAGGAAGCAATGACAATACTTCGGGAGCAGATAATCCATGTTTTACTCCACTATTGAAAAAAGAAGTCTCTTGGAGTGGTTTTTAAGAATTACTTTTAGCCAACCTGCTTGACTGTCAATTTAAAATTGGTAATTAAGAAGATGAATGTGTTACTATAGGACTCTGTAAACAAAGTGAGCGAAGAATAGATGCTGTGGGATAGAAAGTATATTGTTAAATGTCAAAGAAGTTTTAAATATCATTATCTGGCTGCAGATAACAGGGAAAGCAACTTTTTCAGGTTTGGGTTTTTTTGAGAAATGAATGGTTCCAGCCTGGAAAGTGAAGTGAAAAGTTAGTGCTGCTGGTACCACCACAATTCATTTTAATGTTGCCAGAGACCAGTAGTTGTAAGGGTTCTGTTTTGAAGTAACACCATTTTTTTAAAACACCCTAATGAAAGAAATACATGTGTATTAGTTACCCTCTTTTAGTGACAAACATTTATTCTGAGGAGGACAGCAAAATCTTCCATAAAACTCAAAGTAAAATTGAGTGTACATTTGTCCAGTAATCTAAAGATGCAAAGGAACAATGAATATGCCTTGGAACATCTGTCATGCCACAGAGAACAGAAATTTAAACTTTTCTAGATCTTGTGGGCTTCCTTTTGGTATTTTTTATGTTGTTATGAGCAAGAGAATTATACTTCAGGTTCAGTGAATATGTTCCTTCACCCTTTAGGGAATAGCACACTGTATTTACTGGTTACTTTTGACAATGTTTCTTGCATATGTTGCATGTGTATCTGTCTAGGATTTGTCTTTGGAAAGAGCTGGGCAGGGAGAAATACCATGTGACAGCATTCCTTTAAGAACTTAATTCTGATTTAATTAAATACTGCTCCCTAGTTTTTCCCACCCCTGCTGATTAAGAATAATCCGTTGGTTTTCTAGAAATTAGCATCTCAGTGCAAAATGTAGGTTTAGTTTTCCGGACTAAATTTTGCTTTGGTGACTTAGTCCCCAGAGGTCAATTAAATGTCCATGAAAGCCTTCCTAGAATATTCAATTTGGTATTGAAATATGTGTGGTTAAGCACTTTGCTTTGATACATATTTCTCTTTGATGTACTGAACTTAGGGTTGAGACATGACTCAAATGAGTATTGTGCCAGATAAATATGGTGTTGTTTAGGGACTGGCTGTGTTAGGGAAGGTGGGGTGTGGGTTTTTGTTTTTTTTTCTGCAATTGCAAAATTCCTATTCAAAAACATTTCAAGAGAAACATTAAATAAAATACTGCAGGGTCTCAATAACATTTAAAACCAGTTTTCAAACACTTGTGCTGATTTGAGTGCACAAAATACATTTTAGGTGTTGAAAGGCATTATGTTTATACATAAAAAAATACATTTTCTTTTTACTGAATTTTATTGAAGGTTATAACTTCCTGATAAGGAGAGACCTGGTATGTAGATTTTTTTTTAAATTTCATCTGCTTCTTAAAGATGATAATGGATTAATTTCTGATCTGAAGAAGTCAGATTCCTTTTCCTCCCATCAGCTCTGCAGTCTCGTCCTGTCTTCTGATCTCCCCTGCGCTTCTAGCTGGCTTCTGCCACCCTTAATTGTACATTAAATTCTTTGTCTGCAGTCGCACCTCAGGTTTTAAAGGGATAGCTTTGATAATATGCTATTTAGGTTTCTCATCAGGCTTCATTATCTTCGGTCATGTGTTATCACTGGCTTTCTCTTTGTATTCTGCTTCCTCGAGCCTGCCTTTTTCTTTTTCCCTCTGTACCTCGCTTTCTCACGTACGCGTTATGCAGCTGGTGGGCTTCTGCCAACTCCGCGGGCTTGTCAGTAAGGAGTGAGTCAGATGGCTCCGATCTCCGCTTCCCGTCCCCTGCGAGGCGGGATGCAAAGCCAGTGTCTGGCAGTCCCAGCGCTGGCCCTGGGGAGCAGGGAGGGGACAAGAGCAATCCTTGGCTACTGGACATAAGGAACGTGCCGTCTTGCTGGCTTCTCA